GGTACCTGTTGAGGCTCTGCTGGATGGTCTCTCGCTCATCGGTCACGGTGAGGGTCTTGCCGGAGACGTGCAGGGGAATGTATTCGGTCTGCGACGCGCTGGGAGGGGAGAGGGGAGAGACAGTGAGGGTCCCTCCTCGCTGGGCACTGCCCGCCCGGTCCCTGCCTTCTTAAAGAGGCTCTGCACACTAAACCTGGGGGGGACAGACTGAAACGCCCAGAGCAGCGCTGGACACACAGCCTTCCAGTGGAAAAGCACAATGCTGGGGGAAAGAGCACAGCAGACTGTGCACCCGGCCAGGGCAGGAGGGCCAGAGCAATGCCAGGGGGCTGGCAGGGCCCCAGTGCCCGAGCAGGACAACCCATCCCTGGGGAATTACTTCTGAAACCCCAGCTGCCGGCAGGTCTTTCTGGAGAAGGAGTCGTCCCAGGTGCTGCTGCACACCGGCAGCCACTGGCTCTCAGCACTGGAGTAGATGTGGAGCAAGGACTCGTCGGACACGAAGCGCACTGCGGGGATAGAGCAGGCGGGTCAGCGGTACCCAGCGCCCCGGGGGCTCCCTTCGCTACCACCACCCCCGGCTCCTGGTGCCTCACCGCAGCCCAGCTCGTCGCTCCTCTGGGAGCAGTCGACGATGCCATCGCAGCGCACGGGGCTGTCCTTGCAGCTCTCGGCAGGCTCCTTGTACACGATGCCGGTCTGCGACCGCCAGAACATAACTGGAAGCAAGCGCACGTCATGGTGAGGCCGGCGCTGGTGGCAGGGGCTTACTGTGGGCGAGGGTGCTGGACCCACCCGGACGGGAGTCTGGAGGTCTGCCATGCGCAGGGGCACTCCCAAACACCAGGCGTGAGCTTGGGTGCAGGGTTGCCGTTTGAACCAAGATTGAAGAGCTGCAGGAGCTGAAGGAGGACTGGCCAGCCCTGAGCATCCCCCCATGCCAGCCCAGCCGCGTGCAGCTCAGCTGCTGCAAGCCTCTCTGACTTAACCCACTTCTAGCTTGCTCCTGCAGAAAGATGCACTCAGCCCACCAAATGCTTCAAGACCGCCAGCTACAGCAGCTGGAGAACTGGCAGCTAGATGTTACGAGGATTAAAGTGATTCCCCCAGTTTCTGTGCCTGTTCCGCCTACGGACTGCACTTGGTTTGATGGGTCCTGCCTGCTAACCCTGCGCCCCAGGGAGGGCGAGCGTGGGTGCTGCTGGGGGGGCCGCACCACCCGCCCAAGCAAGCCCAGGAGAAGGAAGGGACGGC